GTACTCCGGGAGAAACGGGCGCGGCGATTCGAAAGGGCGCAGGGAGAAACGGGAAAGGGTGGACGTTGAGGTTCTCCTCTCCGCGATAACAACAAGAAAAGAGAAAAAGAAAAAAAAGATTGTTTCTGCGTTTGGCCGCTCGCTCTTTTGTGGCGCTAGCGGGCAAGGTTCTCTCCGCTCCCGTTTCTCCGCCCCTCCTTTCCCATTTACGGCGGCCGTCTTTTCACGCGACGCGCCAGGCTTTCTCCGTATAGAGGAGGCTATGGTATCCCAGGTAGCACACTTGCTTGGTTTAGCTGGGGCCAGGGTTGGCACTTAGTTGTGATAGCTTGGCCCCGACTGCCCAGTCATTTACGCCTGTATGCCAGCCTGGCGTTTCATAGTCTTACCTTGCTCCAGAAAGCCACGGAACTGCCAGGGAACGCCTTCCCTGGTTGACCAATCAATTTCCTTGGTCACTAATGGCCATTGTAAACAGGCCGCTGCCAGTATTGGATGCACCCTGGCTGTGTATTGATTTTCCTCGGTCGGAGATGGCCAGGGTAGCAATGCCTCTGCCAAGCTTTGGGGTTCCATGGTAGTTCGCAGGAATTCCCTGGTCCGCTCAACACAAGCAACAGCCAATATTCGGGCATGTTGCCGGATCGAAGATAGGGTGAGCCAAGGAATGTCAGGGAATTGCCGCTATGCAATGTTCCGTGGCTCAAGCTCGTATTTTATCGGACCCAGAATGCCCGCTGGAAGCCACTGTTACTCTATAGTTCGTTTAACTTTTTTCCATTTTTTTTTTTTAATTCGTATGAGCGTTTTCTTAACATATTTTTGGTGCTTTGTGGCAAGAGCCCTCGTACTAGAAAGTGACGTTTGAGTGCAAGAAGTCTGTTTTAGCTTGAGTCATAAAAAAGAACACGTTTTCCCCATTGAAAAAGAAAAAAAAAACTATTTGAAAACAGTTTGGATATGAACAGGCAAAACCCAAAATTAACTGGTTGTAGTGGAATTGTGCCGGACAAATTGGAAATAAAACTATCGAAATTGGTCGCACCGAACTTTATCATTTTCCCGAAAAAAAAAATTGGCTTGCTCTTTATGTTTATACAGCCTTGATGCAGATGCGCCTCAACGGGCAATCGGTCTCTTAGCTGTAGATGAGAAATTTAGCCAGTGCGGTACAACCGCTAACCTGGGATTTTTAACGTGCATCACACAGTAGTGATCACAAGAACGCGTGCCGGTACGAAACTCATCCAGATCGAAACGGGCGGGGGCGGTGGGGATCGAACCCAGGAGGTTCCCAGCGCAAGGTTTCGCTCCACGCTCCGAGCTGAGACGCGTTAGCCCACTCGGACACTTCCTCCCTTATCATTTTCCCGCTTTTTACCGCGGCCTTTATCTACCCTGGCTTGCACGGAGAAGCCGCTTCAAGCGCAAGTGCCTGAGGCGGAGTGCCTGGAAAAGCGCGGGAAAGATCCCGCACCCTCCAGAAGAATCACGCGCCCGTAATGCTCCAGTACTGTCAGTGCCCCGGGACTGGGGATGATGCAGTCTCCCTGCGCGTAGCGCGGATTCCTTGAATGAGGAGAGCTGCTCACGTGCAAGGACAGGGACCGCGCGGGCCAATCAGCGCGGCCCTCGCGTCCGCTCGAAGCGCCAGTTTTGAGACGGCGGCGGCGCAGTTCCGAAAACAAAAACAAAAAGAAAAAAGAAAACCGGATTTGGCGTTAGTAACGCGAACTTGGGTCTTTGTTCGCGCTGCTGTTCTGCTTGGGGCGGCTACAAGTTGCTGTGTTTGAATAAGATAGTTTGACGGTGCCTTGAGTGCTGCCTCTGCCGATGGTTACTGTGGCTGATGACGTCCTCCGCCTGAGTTCGCCTGAGTTCCACTCGCTCGCGGGCGAAATGTCTGCCTCTCAGAACGGCGTGTTTGGAATTCGCTCCGTCCTCATTGCAGCGCGGGCACTGGCTGTCTCTGTCTCGGCGCCAGCGAGCCAGGTAAGCAGGCTCGACCATTTGGATTCATTTTCATAATCAGGGTCATGTGAAACCGAACCTTTTTGCAACCCCATTTGGAACAGCCATGCTAGTAATACAACCGCCAGTGTACACATTCAGCTTCAGAGATCCTCTACCGCAGTGGTTAACCACTGCGGTAGAGGATCCTGCTGTTGTTGCCCCTTCCTGCCTTCCTAGTCTGTCGTCCGTTATGCAACGTAAAGGCTGAACCGCATGTAAGCGATTAAGCGAGCGACGAGAGTCAGTGACAAGCGGCGGAGATTTCCCACGGTCGCTTGTCGCATCGCTCGTTTTTTGGATTTCTAGAAATCGGCGCTCATCGCCTTGGTCGCTTGCTCCCGTCGCTTTCACGCGGTCTGCCGCGTCGCGCGAGTGACCGAACGATAGTGAAGCGTATCGTCGTCGCTTGTCTCGTGACTCGTCAAATCTCTTACATGCGGTTTCTACTTAATTGCCGCGAGACTGGCACCACATGTACGATTGGCACACGCTTCGATATTCCCTCTCATACTGTTTATGATAGTGTATATTTTTTTTAGTGGCATTAGTTATTTACCGTTTTAGAACAGACGGGTGCAAATAAATCTGCCATGGTTCTAATTACTGATGTTTATTCTTTTTTTCAGATGCCTTGCGGTACTTGTTAGCCACCACCGGAACCCCTACACTCCAGATGATGTGGAGAATCTCGCCAACCGCTTGGGACACATGAATAATATCATGCGATTTTTTTTTGCATTGTACATATGTTTTTATGTTTATTTTTGCAGCCTGCAGTATGTATTTTTTGTGGCAATAAATTGAATTTTTTTTAATTTACGATGTGTGTCGTCAATATGACCAGTTAAACTGGTTTAACTGCATGGTGAATTTCTATTGTCTAGCCAAGCTTGGCTGACCACCCTGCCACTAACCTGGCCCATGCTGTATATACAATAAAGTGCCAAGCTTGGGGTACCACTGAGCTTCCCGCCTGGCCCAGGCCATAATTACAGTGGTGAGCCAGTCCATGGCTACACAGGGAACTGCCGGTGGTCGCCAGACTGGCATACCAGGAGGGGGCTGCCTAGCGCCGTGGTGCAAAACAATCTAGGCCCAGTGAAACTTCCCTGGCTACCCAGTCTGGCTCAAGCTTGAGCCAGTCGTAATGTGCTGCTTGGGATAGGTTAGGTTAGCTTGCACCTCACGCGTGATCCTAAGAACAAACGATTCCATCAAAGCATTTTATGCTGCACAGGTTACGCCACCTCAGCTTATCGGATATCAGTGATACATTACAATAGACTTGAGTAGCTCTTGGTGTGTTGCAACTTACAAGCACAAGTAGAGAATTAAATGGAAAAAAATATTATCTTCTTTTTTATTAAAAACGAGCTTGCGAGAGCACGATTATGGTCTCATCTCATATGTTGCGCTGTAGTACAGCATGGCGACACCACTGATTCAGATACTTTGGAGTTATTAGCGCATCGTAAAACCTCGTTGTCATCGGCGGCTTCCTGAACAAGCTCGCGGCATGACAGTAATGTATTATATTGCGCCTACATTGCACTGTTTGCAACAGCAGACTGATATTTCATTATCGACAAGCAAACTCTACCTGCAAAAATTAAATGTAATACGAAGAGAATGCCCATAGTTTTAGTAATCAGTAATTTGTAATGTGATATAATTAAATTTTAGTGATTTTTAAGAAAGGAATCGGTAATGTAAAACAATTAGTTTTGGAAAGTGCTGTTGCCATCTCTCGCCTAGAAATCTCAAGAGGGCGACTGTACTAAAGTGATTAACCATTTCGAGAAGAGATATTGAGTTGAGAAAAATTAACACAATATTGTAATCACACTTCCAAAATTTGACGGGTGAACTTGTACTTTAAGCTTTTGCTTACGGAAGGGTGAGTTCTAGTCACCGGTGTGGCCACGTGCAATATGACGTCTAAACGCGGCACTGGTCACTAGTAGGATCTCAAAACGCAATATAAATATGCAAGGAACCGGAAAAAAAAGGCTGTTTCGTATTATGGATTTTTGCAGATCTCAATATTTGGAGTTTCGGTCAAATTTCAGAACAAAAACAACGGTTTGACAGCCCCCAGCACTGTTTATTTCAACGTGTGTCCCATTTAAGCAACACCAGGTGGGTTGGGGTAAAAGCACCGGACATGTTAGAGTACGCACGCTGGCATGAGTTCCCGTCCCGTAAACACTTTTTGTAAGGCTCGCCGCTTCCTCTTCAAGTACCCAGGGTCACAATACACTCTGTAGTACCGTATTTTCCGGACTATACAAGTTTAAAAGTTGAAAATTCACCCGATGCAGAATATCTACAGGTGCGGACATTACAATATTTAATTTTTCTAGATCCTTCACTATGACAATCGTGAAGGATTTCATGAGTAACGGACTATACTAATGTTGATTTACGTACGATAAAACTTCATCGTGACCGAATACAGTAGGCGTTTGTCAAGATGAGCTGAGTATGATACTTTTTACGTTCGGACTAGGTGCTAAGTGCGGGCTTTGCACTGGGTGCTGATTGTGTACCGGGTCCGGACTATCTAAGAAAACACTTTTATTTTTGACGCAAAATATTTCCCTGCGGACTATGCACCGGGTGCGGGCTATAGTCCGGAAAATGCGGTAGTTCCTTCGAACTCTAGGGTTTTTGGACGATGGCTCTTGGCCTATGCTTATCCTCACAAGGCCTTGGGTCACTTTACATGGACGGCAGAAGCAGTCAAATGCTCGGAGTAGCCAAGCATGCTTATCGCAAAACAAAATAAAAATTCAGAGACAAAACCGAGAGGCTAGGCTCTGAAATGCTGCAGAAAGGAGAGTTCGGTTTCGGGCGCTTCTCTGGTATCGCCGGAGGAAAGGGGTCGCTGTGCCTCCCGCCGCAAATCGCCCATTAAGGCTGAACTCCATGGAGCGAATATGCGACGAATAACCGACGAACTTTTTGCGGCGGCGTTCGCTCTTGCCGCGGCGTCAAAAAACTGGCTGTTCGTCGCGTATCTAGCCGAGCTAGATATTGTGCGCCCGGCGAACGCCGCTACCGGAAGCGGCCGATGCGCGGCGGAGGACGCGGGCCAATGAGGACGTAGTACGCGATCCCACTTCCGCCTGGCACCGAAGTTCGAAGGTGAGCGCGCTTTTGGCGCACCTCCGTGATTCTGTCAGCGTGTACTATGGAGTCGCAGTGCGCGGTGCCGAAGTCGAAAAAAGACTTAAAAGCAGCGCGGTTGGCTTATAATGACAAGCTCATTTGTGCGGTACAGAAGCGGCCGATTTTGTGGAACTTTACCCTGGGTGACTACAAAGATCACAGGAAAAAGCTTTCGATCTGGGACGACGTGTTGGAGGAGGTCGGCGAAGAACCCGAAGGCAAGACTACTTTTGGTTTGGTGGCATCATGACGCAGCTTACTACTGCGCAGTTGTTAGATTAACCGACCGGTACTGTACTGTAGAGGGTTGTTGCACGGAAAGCTGGTTACATGTACCGATTTGTGGGGATAGTCACACTCCGCAATTCAGATGGAAGACTCTTTGACAAAAAGTCAGTGGCGTAGCCAGCAATTATATTCGGGAGGGTGGAGAGGGCTTTTTCTCATCTTTGCGTGTAGTAGGCGATGTACAGTACCTTTCATGGCATTCAATATTTGTCTTCCTTTACTAAAACAAAAACATTTTGTGGGGGTTGGCCGCCTGACACGTTAAGAAATGGGAGGCAGTCACACCAGATGACTCCGGCGCAGGTGCCAAGAAAATCTTCTAGTGCTAATCCAAGATGCTGTTCTACCTAATGGACTTACCACTGCGCATTTGTACGATTAGCCGGCTGGTACTTTACTGTAGGGGGATGTTGCAAGGAAATTTGCTTACATGAATTGTATTGATTTCTAGGCAACACTCCGCAATTCCGATGGAAGAGTCTTCGTGACACATTCACAAAGAAATTCAAGAAATGGAAGGTAGGCGCACCAAGTGGTTCCGGCGCAGATGGTGCCAAGGAAGTCCGCTGGTGCTACTTCAAAATGATGTTCTTCCTAAAGGACTTTGTCGATGTTCCAAGGTATGTGTGCAGGTCTTAGAGATATCGGAAATTAGGTCAGATTTAGTTGATCCGCACCAAGCACATCTGCAGATTGATTACTGCAGGGCCCAATTTTTCACTGTGTGCACTCTCTTTCTCTTTGAGTCCAAATTTTGTTCTCCCCCCCATGTCAGGCTACCTTCTACCTTTTTTTTAGGCGAGATGCCCGATATATAGGGAATTTTAAGCATCCACAACACAAAAAACACGGCGTAAAAAGTAACACAAATCTGCTTGCCTACATGAAAGTTTGTCTCTTCTTGATATCAAAAGGAATAAACAATTTTTGCTTCGATCACATGGTAAAACAGGGCAGTGGCAAATGCTTTATTAAGCAGTACAATAATTATTGCTTACCTTTCTACATTACTTTTTTTTAGCACCACAAGCAGCATGGTGCAGGGGTGCACAAAGACTCAGGAGAGCGCAGAGGCCGTCCTCATGGAGATTTACAGTGAGCCAAAAGGTAACAAACAATGTATTGACTGAGAAGGAACATTATTGGTACACTAATGCACCAGCCACCTTGGGGACAACTGTACCTACTGTACACTTTTAGAGCTCTTATAGTAATGCTCTATTGTACAGCCTGGCCTGCTTGACAATAAGTTGTCAAGACATCTCTATACCTGATGAATTATGAATACAGGCAGTGTTAATTTATTGTTATGACTTTTATGGCACATTTTTCTTCTAGACCCGCTGGAGCACGGTGATGCACCAGACATCCTGAGCTCAGACAGCTCTTGCAGCCTGTCAAGTGAGGCTGCATCACCAAAGGCACCACCAAAGGCCAGCACTTCAACTGCTCCCAAAAAGCGATGTGTCGTAAAGTCAAACCGAAAGAAAAGCAGAGTTGATGTTGAACTAGACAAGGTCGACGAGCAGCTCGATCAAGTAGAAGAGGTTGACGAGTGCGCCCTCTTCGGTCAAATCATGGCCCACAAGATGAGGCTGTGCCCACAGCGACTGAGAACTGATTTTCAGATAGGTGTGCTTGGGGCAGCCAAGACGTTTGAGGGGGAACAATAAACCACTTGTGCACACAAATCATTTGCCTGATGCAGTCTGCCTAAAAGTGTCATTCGATAAAGACTGTGTCTGATGTGCAGCTTGACACTGCAGTTCAATGCTAATAGTAAACGGTGTTATTCACAACTATGTTCCGTCTCGTCCTATAGTGGACAAAGAGCCAAAGCTACAAGCCGCCTGGTCCAACCATGAGCCAGCTAGAAACCGTGTTGTATTATTGTTCCGGTGTGCGTGTCATGTGAGAAATATAGCACTTGCTTTCTAGCTGGCCAATGATTAGACCTGGAGGCCAGTAGCTCTGGCTCTTAGTTCATTGTAGAGCCAGATACGGTAAGTAGGCTAAAACTGCAAAATAGTATGATCATGTCCCATCACGCCAGTAATAGCAATTAAAACAAGTGAGAGGGAATACATGTTTTAATGTCTTTGATTATAGTACACTTTCTGCTTATGTGCAGATCAATACAACCACTACCAGTTTGTGTTGGCATTCAGGTCTCCATGCAATAAAAATATATACCGTATTTTCCTAACTATAGTCTGCAAAGGCGAAATTAAGGTCAAAAATAAGTTTTTGCTTGGATAGTCCGCAAGCCGTGCTTAGTCTGTGCCTCGTCTGAATGTAAAAATTATCATATGCAGCACACCTTGACAAATGAAACGTATAACAGCGACAAGATTCTGGGGGGTTTGGGCGAGATATACGAACCGGTGGTAGTGTTGCATCATCGTCTCGAGCAAGAGCCCTATTAGCTTCACAAAGAAGCTTGTATCACATATAAATCAACATTAATGTACCCCGTTATTAATAAAACCCTTCCCACCTTGAGACACCTGAACGATCTAGAAAAAAACAAATCTTTGTATAGTTTGTGCCCATAGCTAGTCCAAATCGGGTGAAATTTCAACTTTTAAACATGTATGGACAGGAAAATATGGTAATAACACAAATTCAATTTTAATAAAAAATTCAAGCTTATTTGTTTTCTGCTAAGAGACCCTGTACCACCTTGTAAGTAGCCAGACTGGCCTTGGACCTCATTGCATTGGTGGTGGCTGAAGATCCGTGTGTGCCCACTGCCAGCGAACTGCGCCTTCCTTCATAAAGTACTCTACGAAGGTGCTCCGCGTCCCACCAGCAGTTTTCTTAAAGTTTTTTGCAGAAGTACGCTGCAAGTCACTTAAGTGGCTTTTATCTACTTCAGATCTCCACCTACCCAGAGTGACATTTCCCTGTTTATCCTCAGTGTCTACATACTCTGCTGGCATGTATGCTTGTTCTCGTCCTGCACACAAAAAGTTATGAAGAACGCAACATGCCAGGACGACAAACTCGGCATTTTGTGGAAGGAGGTTCAGTCGACCGAGAAGGACCCTCCACCTGGCTGCCAAAATTCCAAAGCCGTTCTCCACGATGCGTCTGCAACATAATATTTTTGTCTTCGTGACAACATAACAGTAGTGTGTACATACATGAGCTAGAAAAGCTGTCCCCCAAAATTAACTATAAAAGTAATAAATGCTTGTCTACGTTATTTGCTTCACGAAAAATGGGATTATATTTTTAAATATAATTTTAAACGCGAGCACAAAATTTGAAATCGAACCTTCGGCTCCGTCCGCCAACACTGGCCTAGGGCCACCAAGAACACGGCTATCACGTGGTACGAGATGTCACGTGATCCTCTAGGCAACGACGGGCGGAATCGGGGCGGGCGTGTGCCAAGCGTAAGCGTCGTCTGCACCGCACCCTTTACCATATTTTGGTGTCTACGACGTTCGACGACGTCTGCAAATCTGTGACAGAAGTCCGCACACGTAGCATACGTAGTGCGGACGAAACTCCGAGGCGATAATCACAAACAATGAGACGACGATGGCGGTTGTGACGCGGAAACAATGGTAATGGCAGGACCACGGCGGGGCGGCCGGACAGCTCCTAAGAAGCGTGCTGCGCAGGCATGTTATGCCAATAATGTGGACACTGCTGAGCGCCGAAAGGAAACGTTGCTGACGTCACCCGTTACACTTGCTCGGAGAAGTAAAAACAAGCAAAAGGGGGCAATGGTGATGACTTTTAGCTCAATGCTGCCTATGCCCATGCCATAGCCTTGACTGCACTGTTGGTTGCGCCTCAATTCGCCCTCTCGAGTAAGCCAATTTTGACAACTTGGCGAATTGCAAAGTTTGCCAGAGCGCTTAAGAAACATTTAGACAGAACTAGGACATAATTTTTTATGTGTGGTCTTCCTAGGTGATACTGAAGAGGACTGCACTGTTTTTTCAAAAACAAAAATGAAGTGGAGTTATTCTTTAAGTAAACAGAAGTTAACTTTTGATTATCACTCTCTCCTAGCATAGTATATTTGTTTCTAAATCTGACACATCTTGTCTTTTCGTACCTTGCTCGGCTCAGCCTATAGTTGAAGACCCTATGGCCTGGCTCGAGGTCGGCTCCAGGAAACGGGCGCATGAAGTCATGGCGAAGCTGAAAAGCTTCATCGCCCACAAACACGTGCGGTGTCACTTTTGTGCTCTTCGGAAGCTTCGCTGGGCCTGGAAGTTCCAATGTTTCGTTCTCCAGCCGTCTCCCAAACTCTGAGGCCTTAAAGACACCCCCATCGCTGTGTCTCCCTGGGGCACCAACGTCAACCATTACAAACTTGTAATTTGCGTCCACCACTGCCATGAGTACAATGGAAAAGGATTTCTGAAAAAAAAATGGCATTGCATCAATTATAGTGTCAGCATATGTTCCAAAGAAACTACCGCTTACGAGATGTCATAGTGGGGACTTCAGCTTAATATTGGCCATTCCAAGCTCTATTTCACAATCAATTATAACAAAGTAATCGGCACATTTCTGTTCGATAAAATCTGGGACAAGAAAGTCATAACACCTTCAGAAAACATTTTAACTGTAGTGATACAGGTATGTACAAGGTAGAGTAGGCTTTACCGACTCGCACCAGTGCACACACGAGGCTTCTCCTACTGCCCCAGTGCACTCGAAGAAGCAACCAACACACAGGAGCACCTAAGTTAGCTGAATAAGCTTATGTTTCTGACGTGGGCATTCAATATGCCCTCAGCGAGTTTTTCAAACGTTTGAAACCTGCCAAGTGGGTGCTTATTATGGCATAGATATATTATCAATATTTTACGCTACTACAACTTAACAAACCATTAAAGGGGCCTTTATGATGATTCCACGAAGATTAAGTAGTGCAGACAAAAGTGATATCAAATCGTGTTTTACAGACAGCATGGAGTACAAGTTGTGGAACCTCTGGGACCAAACCTGCCCTCTGTACCTTCAGGTGGCACAATGTGGTGCACCAGTGTCACAAGTAGAATGTCATGCAATGCTGGCGACAATGATTTTTCTACATTATGAGACACATAATTATTGTGTAATGAAACAATAACAAATAGTTGCTACATTTTTTCTTTTCGAAATGCAGTATTCAATGCAAAAAGCCAACTCACAAGTCATACAATTAATGACCTATTCCCAAATAGACACCGCACATCTGAAATAAAACAGTGCAAAAGATACAAAGGAAGAGACAAACTGGACAGCACAGGGTGCTGAAAAGGAGAAAGAAAAACACACGTTGATCCACGCAATCGCACGCGCACCTTTCACCCATGGTAGCTGACTACGGCACGCGCTGGACCCTCTTTGTCAACTTCAGGAATTCCAGTTCATTGCCAGATAACGCCGCTGATGCTGCGCTGATACAATTTTCTTCTCTACTCTGGATGTGGAAGGCCTCCAGCATCTCGCGTGTCCCTGTGTCCCTGTGTCGTCCCAAGATGGTGGTGGCACAAAAAAACGGCTCGCACAGGCACTCTTTGCAGTGAACCGATAGGTGTCCTCCCACTGTCGCTCCGAGGGAGTACCTGTGCACGCGGAGCCTATCATTCAAGCAATGTCCCATTTATCCCACATAGGTGCAGCCGCACGAGAGGGGGATACTGTAGACTACTGCCGTAACTCATAAGACGAACGGCCTGACGTGCTTCTTACTACACTTGTTCCGTGCTATTCCCTTTCCCTACTACCCCAGAGTTAATGCAAAGGTGGAGGGAATAGCAAGGAACAAGTGTAGTAAGAAGCAAGTCAGGCCGTTCGTCTCATGAGTTACGGCAGTAGTCTACAGTATCCCCCTCTTGTGTGGCTGCACCAATGTGGGATAAATGGGACATTGCTTGAATGATAGGCTCCGCGTGCACAGGTACTCTCTCGAAGCAACAGTGGGAGGAAACCTACCAGTTCACTGCAAAGAGAGCCTGTGCGAGCCGTTTTTTTGTGCCACCACCATCTTGGGACGACACAGTGACACGCGAGACGCTGGAGGCCTTCCACATCTAGAGTAGAGAAGAAAATTGTATCAGCGCAGCATCAGTGGCGTTATCTGGCAATGAACTGGAATTCCTGAAGTTGACAAAGAGGGTCCAGCGCGTGCCGTAGTCAGCTACCATGGGTGAAAGGTGCGCGTGTGATTGCGTGGATCAACGTGTTTTTTTTTCTCCTTTTCAGCACTCCGTGCTGTCCAGTTTGTCTCTTCCTTTGTATCTTTTGCGCTGTTTTATTCTATTATGTACAACGATTACCAACTAGCCCAGCTATCAACCTTATTACAACACATCTGGTACCTTGTAGTTGAAATAGGTGCTCCCCGAGTTTGGCGGTGCCTTTATGTGGACGTGTTTCCCATCTACTGCTCCGAGGCAGTTCGGGAAGTTCCACCTCCTTTTGAAGCCATCCGCGATGTTCAACCACTGTTCATTTGTTGGCACCTAAGAACAGTGACATATTTGTAAAGTGGGACCCCAAAACAAGTAAATTTGAGCCACGACAGCAAATTGTGGTCAACCATGCAGTTCTCGTGTATAGATAACAGGTAACAGGAAAGCCCTGCAAAATAAGGAAACTGGCCAAGTCATACACTACAAATACATATGAATGCTTACATGCCGTATACACAAACTCATGTTTACGAACAAAGTGGAGCGCCTTTAGCCGCACGCCACCGGCGTTGCAACCCGTATCAACAAACCATTGGAATGTGATGCTGTCGGCGTCGGTGTGAGTCCCTGTGCCTTTTTCGCGTTGAAATTTTTTATTCTGCGTCTTACTAGAAATATTATATTACTTTAATGGCCTTAGCAAAATTAACAAGGCTGGTCACAATGTAAAACTGTGGGTACATCATGTGACATTCTGCAATTCATTCCATGTGAATGTTGCAGAATGGACGCTAAAGCCTGATTCACATAAGACTCTTGCTATTTTCAATCGTGATGTCGCTCGAGCTGCCAAAGTGCGGACTGCAGTTGCGATGCTCAACGTCTTTAGTGAAAATTGCAAACAGAATTTGAACAAGTGAATTGGGCACAACACGTCGGTGATCACCACTATAGTAACAATGCTCAACACCTCCTTGTATCTGCTGTTTACACCTAGCCTACTTATCCAAAAAACCTTTAAACGTAGGTATTTTGAGGCCCGCCTTTTGTATTGGCATATTTGGTACACTGGCCGTTGTCGTTTGGAGCAGACGACAGTTTAAACAAGTTGAGGGAGCAAGTTTGAGGGAGCAGACGACAGTTTGAACGATCAGACGGCCATTTGAACGTGAAGACATACTGATCGTGGTCTGTGGGTGGACTAGAAAACTTTATGGTTTTCCCCGCATTCATGTTGGAACAAAACAAACAAATTTGACGACCACAAGTATCCATGAATTCAACCCAAGCAGCTGCCCGCACAATCAATTGTGGTCCAACAGTGTCTGGATTTCCCTTTTCACGGCACCTATTCATGTTTTCGGACGAACTGAGCAGGCAGAAAACGCATGAAAACGGATATTCACACTTTTCCTGGCTCTTTCAGTACAGCCCCAGTCGCGGCATTTTGACAAGAAGGCAAGTTTTAGTCTGGTTTCTTCCAATACAAAACGGGAATGCCCATCCAGCAAGGCGACTTCCACCCACAAGACCAGACCAGAAGTGTGCCTGAAGCACCACCACCGCGGCGTGAGGAAACAGAGTTGAGTTGGTAACACCATTGAAAGAAAACCTGAGACTGAGACAAATAAAATAACGAACAGCACGACACAGAATCTGTTGAGACATTCTGTGTCGTGCTGCCAGTTATTTTATTTGTCCCAGTCTCATGTTTTCTTTCAATGATGTTTCCTAACCAGCTTGTCTGCGTACTTTCCCTCTACTTAGTTCTTTAAATCAATGAAAAAACAACAATCCTACTTACCGGAAGGTATGTTGCCCTCAACCTACTCCAAAGAGCTCTGCAGGTCTCGTGGATGACCTTTCGGCAAGTCTGGGGACCAACCCTGAATGCCAGGGCCACATCCTTGATGGCGCTGCCAGAGGAAAGGTACCTGGACATGGGAATAATCTGAAATTTTAGGTTTTTGTTTACCTTAACAGACATCTGAAGATTTCTTTTAATTTGTGGTTGTACCTAAGAGTGATGGCAAGCCTCTGTTCAGAAGATAGCGGCTCACGGCAGAGAAACTCTTTCGTCAAGTCGTCACGAACAAGAGCATGAAGTTGATCGAATTTGTCTGGCATCATACGGTAAAATTTGAAGAATAGAGGAGGATCATTTCTCATGACTTGCATCTGGAAGAGTAGCACAAAACCATGATAAACAAAGCAATCAGATGAACCAATCACAAGATTATTCGTATAACGAACGTAATTAGCGGCGTTCTATAGGTAATAGCTAGATTATTCTTGCCTGAAAATGTATTTCGTTTAAAAGCAATGTGCAACGATTATGTTACATTTAACGCGCATTACCCAGTGCTGACACACAACAGTAGGCTGGTACGGTACGGGTAGGACTACCCAGGATGCCTAGGTTCTGCAGCGCGAGCATTTGTGATCTTGTATGCAACTTGGCCTCTGCCCGCACACGATTCAGCGAATATATATAGAATACAAAAATATTGAACCAACCTACTTAAAGCGCGAACGTAGGAGTAGCTAAAAGAGAGAGCTTTTAAATTGCTAAGAACGCGCGCGCTTGTGCAATGCATGCGTCGTTGAGGGCTTTTGTTTGAGCGATGCTATATCCACTACGTAGTGCAGCTCCCACGGAAGTTGCTTTATGCGAAGGGCGGAGAGCTCATGCCATTTGGGTCACCCTTTTCAGACGGCACGTGAGTCACTGGGCAGCTCGTTAACCCACCCCGCACCTGCGTTCACGCTGCTTCGCGCCGTCGGTCTGCGGCTACTAATTACAAACCTATACGCCTCGCAAGTGGGCTCATTTTCGTCTTCTGCGCATGAGAAAGGAAGTAGCGGTGACGTCAGAACGCCGAGCCCTGATTGGCTGATCGCGACCCCCTACCTCGGCGTCGTCTGCTCCTTTGCAACGTCGTCTGTTCGCAACGTCGTCTGCGTCTGTCTTATACGCCTCGCAAGTGGGCTCATTTTCGTCTTCTGCGCATGAGAAAGGAAGTAGTGGTGACGTCAGAACGCCGAGCCCTAATTGGCTGATTGCGACCCCCTATCTCAGCGTCGTCTGCTCCTTTGCAACGTTGTCTGCTCGCAACATCGTCTGCGTCTGTCTTACCTTTCCTGCGACTTTCGGAAGTGCAGGTCTTTACGAGCGAGCTCGAGTTCGCCTTTCAGAGAGGGCAGACGAAATAACCTGAGCGGTACGTTGTTTATATCTAACAACTAGCAGACGCGCATCAAGGAGGGAAGTCAAAGGACTCACTGGCGAGGTGTCCCGAGGCGCCGAGGTTTGTTTGCTAAGAACCGAGAGTAAGCGTGTTAGTGCCCGCAAGTTCCTCCCAAATACTTTTTCCGTCCTTTCGTGTGTGGCGAGACCCCTCATTCTTTAACGGCGTCGACGCGTTGGCGCAGTTAACGTCGTCTGCTTTATGTCTGCTAGTCAAAGCGATGGCTGTTTTACCTTTCCTGCGTCTGTCGGAGATTCACCACTTTTTCACCGGCGAGAGTCACCGTTGCCTCGGGAAATAAGGAGATAACAAGAGGAAGAAAGTGACCTCTTAATCTAAAATTGAGGTCAGCAATCAAAGTATAATACGGGAAGGGTTCACAAGGGTCGCGCGGGCATATTCCATTCAGCATGCCAGCCAGTTGTGGGCAGACGGTCGCCGAGTCGCGGAGTGCCTGCTAGGCCTAACTGCCATACTCGTTTGGTCGTGTTCGGTGTAATCGTGGCCGTTGGAGCTTTTCCCGGGTGTTTGTGGATTCTGCGTTCTTGTTCGTCGTAATCTGTTTCAAGTACTTTTTACTTTTTTCTTGCTGCTTGAAGTCGGGACGCGTGAGAAGCGCACGTAGAAAAATAAACGTCAGTGGGTCGTCGCGACAGCGACGCTGTCGGCCATGCGATTTGATCGTAAGAAGTACGTAAGACAGCTTCGGAGCTGTCGTAGGATTCCGTCGTAACCTGCGCAAAACTTACGAAAATTTTGTTTCATGAATACAAATTTGTTCTTAAGTTTTGTCTTACACACATTTTTGGCGTAAGATCGTTTCGTGAATCTGGCCTCTGCACTTCCGAAAGTCGCAGGAAAGGTAAGACAGACGCAGACGACGTTGTGAGCAGGCGACGTTGCAAAGGAGCAGACGACGCTCAGATAGGGGGTCGCGATCAGCCAATCAGGGCTCGGCGTTCTGACGCCACCGCTACCCCCTGCGCAAGAAGCAGACGAACTTGCCCTCCGCATTAGCCCACTTGGCCCCACATACAGGACGCTTCGCGGTGTGCAGCCGGCAACCCGCTATCCACCACTGCATCTCCGGAAAGGGAATGTCGGCGAAACTTTGCTGAACTAAATGGTATCATTTAGTTCAGCAAAGTTTCGTCGAAATTTTTTTTTCAGTGATATGTGTAAAAAAAAATAATAATGTTGTAAATTCTGCCAAATGCACTGTGAAAAAAAAAAAAAAATGTAGTTTTGCTCCGTGGCTCGAACCCGTAACCTGCTGCGTATGAAGCAGACACCTTTCCGCTGCAGTAAGCTGCAGCTTCGAAAAATTCGTTTTGACAAATCGAGTTTCGCGTAGTATATATAGCAACTTTCGATAGAGCTGCACTACGTAGTGCACATAGCATTACTCCTTTCGTTTTGCGTTCTCAATTAAAGTGAGAAGGAGTGAAGCAGCCCCGAGTACTACATCAAAGGCTTGCGCACGAGCTTATAAAATTAAAAGATAATTTTCTTCCTCTTGCTGGACAAGGTCTCGAGCGTCTTGACTTAGCACTGCCGTGCCGCTCACTCGCTCAATTTTCCAAGGAAATCCAGTCCTCCATATTCTTTATTAGCAACGCTGACGCCGGATATAGGCACGTAAGCTGGCCCCGTATGCATGAGTCTGTTGGCGCTTGCATTGGGTTACTTACCGCTGTGTGGAACTCGCCTTCTAACTTTCTCTTCTGCCATATGGGGTGTACCCAGAACCGTCTCCTCTTCTTTTCTTGTTGGAGTTGTTTCAAGAGTAACAGTTTCTTCTTCAGCAGAAGAAGCCGTCGCCGGCGGTTAAAAGGGTTCATACTCGCGAAGCTTTCAGGAAAGAACTCTGCTCTGAACCTCTAAACAAGCTTAAAAGTCTTCACAATGCTGAAAAAGGAAACCATAGAAACTCGATGCACAGTGTTACAGACCAATCATGCTTCCCGCCTCATCTGGAAAATCCTTTTCCAAACAAACACTTAAAGGCATATTAAAACTCAAGAGTACATTATTATAAGTTACTTTCTCGTTTCATGGAATTTTTTTTGCGCTTTCTACAAATATGGCGTGTTTAAACAAAGGTTTATAATTGCTTGGTTTTAGTTGATATCACGTCCCCTCTTGGCAACACTGACAGTCGCGCTGGTCGCCGCCGGCGGCGTTCGTCGCTTGTTCGTCGCTTGGAGTTCAGTGGTGAGCGTGAACGCGGCGGCGCGTCGTTATAGATTTTTGCCGCTTGAATTTCGTCGTGAAAGTTCGCTCCATGGAGTCCAGCCTTTATGCGCTTAGCTTGGCTTATCTGGCCCCGAGATGCAGCAACAAAAGGAGTCTCCCCGCCGTCAAGTTAACTATGGGAGAGGAGGAAATGGGAAGTGTGGCGAGGGGAACTTTTTTTCTCGTTGAAAAATATTCTGCAGGTTGGTCTTTGAGCGCCGCGTGGTGGGAAGTTTTGAAACTAGCCCGAATGTCTCGGAATCTTGGCCTTGTTTTATTCACATTATCTGCCTTGTATAGGAAAATGACGCACCCTTGTGGTGATAGCCGGAAACTGGCAATTGAGCAGGCAATACCAGTATACAGGAGGCTATAGCCTGCACGTTGTGAATGGGCCATCGCTGGCAAGTGTACTATGGCCAACCAGATTTTCGATGGCCCAAGCTTGGCCAAAGTGCTCGGCAATAGCAGTGTTTTCGTCCTCGTCTGGTGACTTGCCATTCACTTTATGCCAGTCGCTGGCCATTCACTTTAGGCCAGTGACTGGCCATTCACTTTAGGCCCGTGACTGGCCATTCACCTTTGTCCAGTGGCTGGCCATTCACTTTAGGCCAGAGACTGGCCATTCACCTTTGGCCATGACTGGCTATTCATATTTGGCCAGTGACTGGCCATTCACTTTAGGCCAGTGACTTGCCATTCACCTAAGGCCAGTCACTTTCGGCCAGCCACTGGCCATTCACGTTTGGCCAGCCACTAGCCATTGACTTCCGGCCAGTCACTGGCCGAAAGTGGCTGTAGTTATACACTTAATACATAATCTATCACAGACCGCCAGAAAATTTGGGTGTTGCTCAGAAGACTGTCAAGAGTTTCGGGAGGTCAAGTTTGAGAACTCAACCCCAGAAACATTTTACATAGTATTGACACGCGAAGCTGATGCAAGGCTGCTCAATATTTATTGGACTTTTTGAGTACTAAGTCTTACGACGCTGGTTGCGACCACAATTCCAGTCGTCGTGGGTTCAGGGATGGTATGTTATCCCACCATTAAGATCCCGCGGTAGTGCAGCAGTAAAAAAAATAAAAAGAAGTAACTTTAGGTGAAGGGACAGTGCAACAATAGAGAGTTTTAGTAGATCGTTCCGATACCTCCGATAGCCCCGATAAAGGTACTATGGATGCGCAAGGGAGGCGGTAGCGGAGTATCGGGTATCGTTATCGGAGTCATGGGAGCGATCTACTAAAACTCTCTACTGTTCGGTTACAATACTTTTCACTTTACACAAGCTTACTGGCACTAATGGGAAAGAGAAGCCTTGAGTACACAGTAAAAGGTTTTACACACTTAAGGGTGTAAATCAGTTTGTCCCTGGGCTAACACCCTTATGGCGTTCAGGCAAGCACCCTTCATGAAGGGTGCTTGCTAACACCCTTGGTAAAGGGTGCTTGGCATGAGATGAGCACCTGCTGGGGTGGCCCAGTGGATGCTGGGCCACCCCAGCCAATTTGGCGCCGGGAGGGTGTCATGCGACGTTTTGGTTATGTGGAGTACAAGGTCACATGACGCTCTCTCGACGCTGGATTGGCTGGTAGCGTCCGCCGCGCTCGGACGAAGGGGGAAATGAAGTATAGACCCCAGTGAACATTTCATTGGAATGTGTCCAATACACATATCAGAACTTGTAAATTGTACAAAAATCATATATGGTATTGCATATTCTTATATTATTATTACGTGATTTACAGCTTATCATGTTTACTGAACACATTTACACTTTTTTCACTTAGAGGGATTGCCACATCACCACATACGAGGCATGTGATAAAGAAATATTGAGTCACACTAAACACAACTCACTTCATGAAGTAATACAAAAGAGCTCCTTGCAAGCCACATCATAACCCCGTGGGCAATTGGGAAGTGCTACGGCACCCCCCTTTCTCGAACTCTAAGTGAGCAAGCAATGGCCCCAAGCATGGCACTGCATGGCTGAACCATTGTGAACATCATGGTCTGCCACAAACGAAGCATGTAAAGCTTTCCTGTTTGGAGATCAAGTGACATGTTTTGTTTGTCTCAGAGGATTGCAGGCAACCCACGCTTCACTTATCACTTGTCTCCTACGCGCATCTGGCTCAACACACAAATCGCGCATTGTGCCAAACGGTCCAAGAAGACGGAAAGGAAGGACTCCCCTCATTCTCGGACCCTCGTTCGTGCAACCGGAAACAGTCATTCTCCCCCTAGAAGATTAGCCCGTCGCTCAAAACTCGAACAAAAGTTGCTTTCCCCACCCCGTTCAGCCCTAAGCTGACAGTGTTGTGGAAGCTACGTGCTCCTTGGGCCAGCCCACGTGGGCCAGCCAGACGCTCGTCACGCCACGGGTACTTCGAACGGCTCGGTTGTAACGCGCTGACGCTATTGACACCACCACAACGCTGCCAGCGCCACCAAGGGCAAAGCTGATAACCACGCCCGCCTTGCTACTCCACGAACGCGGGGAATCTTTTCTTTCTGGTTTTGTTTGCGCCGGATATCCCATGACGCATCGCGCTCTCCGTTCGTTTCTCTTCGAGCGCTTGCTCGAGTGCACCGTTTGGAACGAAAAATATAACCAGTCGTTCAAAATACAAACGTGCGATTATCATTTACGGTTATTATCCCTCCTACTTGATTCCCTTCCGAACGAAATTTGAATATTTCAATTTTTGTTTCCGTACCCCTTTAAAGAACACAACTGTGATGATGATTTAATGAATGATGATGATGAAATAATTTTGACTAAAGAGAGTGACCACAGGGGTATACTGAAAGAATCACTAACAATGATGAAACCTAGAAATCTATTAGTGCCTTCCCTGTGTTTTGCCATTGAGTGGAAGAAGTTTCTTGGCCTATATTTTTGTTAGAAACAGGTGTGATGCGTCCGTCTTTTTAAATCTTGATGTTGTGCATATTTTTTATTTCCTAGGTTGAAAGCTCAAGGCATTCCTTGTTGTTTGTTCAATCACATTTACCCAAATGTTAGTAGGTTGCTTTTTTATGTTTACTGTCCTTGGGTATGTCAGGGGTTGTGAACAGTAAAACGCTGTAAGGCACAGGAAGGAATTCCCTTTGTAAAGTGGTGGCAAGCAGAAGAGAAATTGTAAAAACTGACTTCATGTCTTCCCCTACGTTTTCTTTTTTGGGTCACCTATTCATTTTTTGCCCATTAATACTCATCTGTGTTTGATACTTCTCTGCGTTTGTGTCATCCTTCATTCAGAGAACCCGTCTTTAATAAATTATTTGTTTGCTTGTTTGGCTAGCTTTTTTTGTTTATTAATAAATGACTGTAGGATTCAACTGTAGGATGACTGTAGGATTCAACTGTAGGATGACTAGGATTCAAGCACCGTGTTAATGCATACTAATAAATAGCAGCATACTTTTATTGACTAGTGCTGATGATTAGACTAGTTAGTAGCCAATTATTGAAAAGAAATAATGAAGAATATGGGAACAGAGGATATGAACACAACACAGCGCTGTGTTCATCTCCTCCTTCTTGTCCGTGCCATTCACATTCCATGTTTTTAATAACACATTTATTAATAATTTTCTGCTTGGTATCATCTGTATAGGGATTCGCTGGAACGACCCATGTGCTATTGCATTCACTTTAGGGCAGCTCCCCCTTCCTCATGGTGCCATCGTTCAGGAAGTGCAAGGCGGGTGTCACTCTCACTCTTGTGGTTCAGTTCCCCAGGTTCCCATAGGTTTCAAGCTGCTAGCCAAACTGAGTCAGGCCTTCCAGCCCTGCAGGAAATGTCAATTCCACTCTTTTAGACGTAGACACCCACATTTTGCGTGTACGTGAAAGAAGCTCCAGCAGAGAGGAAACAAAATGATTGGCCTTTTTTAATGCATCCTTTTCTTTTGCTGAGAACATACATAAACGTTACACGCTATTGTACATTCAGTGGTGCGGCTTAATTTAGGAAGAGCACCTTTTTTCATATAACTTTTATATAAAAAAAATCTCAATATAATGGGTCGGGCATAAATGGTTGCTATGAACTGCCCTATACATTTACACATTACCTGATATCACCAAAAGAGTAGAGTAGAGTAGGGTAGGGCTGCACTGCACCAATTACGACTTTGTAACCAATTAATAGTTGGCATTTATTTGTTTATTACTATTGGCTATTATTCTTTGACAGAAAGAATAACCGGGCGAGTTGGTGCGGTGGTAGTCTTTGAACGCCATCAAATATTCAGGTTTGACATTAGTTAATTTTTTCCGCCTTTTTTCATGTTTTTGCTTTTTCTAGCTGCTCTGATTTTTGTAAGGGCTTTCGCCACTACTAAAAAACGTGACATCTAAACTCCTTTTATTTTTTGCATCACACAATCATAAACTTAAAAAGTGTGCCGGTTCGGTAAACGCGAAGAGACCTAATTTTCGAGGGCGAAACCTCTAAAAACAACGGACAAGTAAAAGAAACAAACAACACAGGGCGTTGTTTGTCCTTTGTTTTTAGCGCTTTTACCCTCGGAAATATGACGAAGAGACCGCGCGTCTCAACGCACAGGCATTAGCATATGCAAAAAACCATGCTGCATGCCCGCTCTTGTAACGTTTTTCTCGCTCCCGCTTTATGAAACAAATCGGTGGCGAGCAGCTGTT